CCCGTTCAGACGGCCACGCGCGCGACCTTCGATGCTTGCTGAAATTGACGATACTTAAATTAGTACTTTCGTATCTAAAACCACCTTCGACGTGTTACTTTCAACTTTCCTTTTCTTCGACGTGTTACTTCCAACTTCCCTTTTCTTCGACTACAACGTTCTTTGCCTGAATATCTTCAGGAACGACGTAATATCACATACAGTAAATCATCGACGACTGTTCGAATCAAGTGCCCAGTGGTAGAGACGACGTCTGAACATTTAGTGCCGAGGAGCCTTTAAACGTTCGTCGATGATTTACTGTATAGAATCTGTAATCAAGTGTTGGAAGTACTAATTGCAACGAATCAACTATCAAAAGACACATGAAAATGTAACCTTTGAAAATACACTCGAACTTCATGCATTATCATTGTATTTCATTTGTTCCCGGGTAAGCACTACTTGAATTTTCTTGGACAACCTAATATTTAACCTGTCTTTTATCACGCTTCACCGTTCTCTGTAAAACACTGGCTGCATTCTCTATGCAAAACAAAAGCTGATTAAATAGATCCGTTACTGATGGCTCGCTACGGTTTCCGATGTTTTCCAATTACTTCAACTACACATCGACGAGCAACGACCAACGTTTCGATAAAACGATACCGGTGTAGCGGCGAGTAATGGGCAGCCTGTGCCTTTTTATTACAACAGTTTGCTTCGTATTTGCTCGACCGATGAATGAATCAGACTATGAAAATCTCCCCCGTCCGCAGGAGTGCACGTTGATATATACACGCATAATACGCGCGAATATTTACGTTATACCGTACAGAGGGCAACAGCGTAAAATTGGCTAATTAGAGATAGATCAGTGACCAGGGCCAAGATTGAATGAGCCACGCTACGTTTCATCATCCTGATCGAAATACAGTGCGAAGAAAAATATTGTGGCTCGATTGATCGCTGAACATTACCTGGAAGCGATAAACAACACACTTTTTTCGTTTTTTCAGTTGCGACCGTTGAGATCTACAAATGAGCCATACATATCCCCAGGTGGAACAGAATTACGCTTAACGTGTCGTTTATTAAAAATTATTCACCGCAATTATCTACCGTTACGAGGCGTCGAAGTCTAATTAACAGGCCGGCGTACCAAGCCAGAAAATCCATATTAGGCAAAAGAAAAAAAATCGAACCGAAAAAGGGGAATATATAATCGTCGTCGTTTCGAACGAGAGAGGAAACGAAGGAATCGGCCGTGGGTACGTAATACAGAATTTTATGGATTCCTTCGAAAGACCGTTAAAGCAGAAACATCGTTGCGTTTACGTGCTGGTTGGCAGTCGCGAGAGAGCACCCCAGTGTTATACCAGGCGATTTCCACGTCCATTTCATTCGGTAATGAGCCCCGAGTCACGTAGCGAGTTGTCGAGAACGAGGGAGACTGGACACTACCAACTGTGCTTTTATCTTCTCGGTCTCTGTCGAAGTCGAGCTAAAAAAAAAAAGAAAAAAAGTATCTTCTGGTTTCCACTTCGAAAACCATAGATCACGATTCAATGTACAATTGTTCAGTTCAACAATATCTGACAGACCGACCATATTACCTTCGTCATTACTCTCTCTCTCTCTCTCTCCTCAATCTCAAAAACTGTCGAGAAAGCATCTGTGCAAGAAAGAAAAAGAAACGTCTCGACGAGTAAATACGATCAACATTGTAGAAAGTACATCAGCTGCTGGATAGGTACTCTTAATCGTGTTCCAGACGATAGATTAATTTGTTCGATTCCACGATCCAACGACGAAACAAGGCTGGTTGATCACCGTGCAGCTTCCATATATAATCTACGCTCATTTTCCAGCGACAGAGTACACTTTTATCCTGCAATCCTCTAATGCCTCTAAATATAACCTTCGTTAGTTAAGTTTCGTACCTTTTTCCCCATGGGCGAACCCCGCTGACGCTTCCGATTACGAGACCTGTTAAGTTCAAACAGCAAGCACGTGCACTTTGTCGAACGAGTGGGTATCCTAACTACTCTATTACCGAGACGATGGAACGAGCGATGCTTCCTGCAATACAGCATTGCTGAAAATTTCAAAAGATCGAACTGCTGTTCGACATTTAGAAGAAAACTGCGAACCACACGATGTACCTTTATATAAACGGTCGATCCAATCAAGTATAATTAGAGACAGGTGAATCACGGTTTTTTCTTCGCTGTCTACTGTCGATGCTTCCGACATGAACGCTAACTACGTGGAATCTAAACTAAACAGCATTACGATCTGTTAAGGCTAAGGGAAATTGTATTCAACAGCAACGGCAGAAATCATCGTGTTAATCGTCGTTAGGAGATATTGAGATCGGATCGAAGGCGGTTCACGAACGTCTGTCCAGTTAAGCATAATTACGGACACCAAGAAGCGGTGTCGAGGCAGAACGCAATGTGTAACTACCGGAAGAGATGGAATCCTAATGACACGTGACGAAGGAGCACTGAAGCACGCCTCATTGAAGAATCCTTAGCCCAGAAATGATTCTACCTCGTGCCGTGACTCCCGATTCTCGTCTCGTCTGTCCCTGTCACGAACCGTGACATTCCCCCGGTTCCTGACGGAGCTGCCCGCAAAAAAAAAAAACAGGTATGTAATACGCGACGCAAAGCATTTTATTGCGGCAAAATAACGGTTGTACCGTGTGTTCCGTCTCGCGAGCATACCGAAAAACCAGGCTAAGGAGATGTCCTTAACAAGAATCTGACAAAGGACCGTCGAAAATGCAATATGCAATACATGTACGTATATCGTAAGTCGATTGTATCGCCATTTTGGTGGTGGAGATTGAGGGCTATGAAATCTTCTATTTATGTATATGTATGTACCTTGTCACGGAGACGCTGAAGAAAGAGTCCTCTCAGAGACCCGTCACTGTCCACAACGACGAAAAAAATCAAGTTCAAGGAATTGACAGACGGTCGACACGAAAATTACCGGCCACGAGGGGTTGAAAAGTTTTATACGGTGTATACATATACATACATATTGTAACGAACCGAATATCAAACAGATCGCGTGCATTCCTGTCGTGATCCCGCGTGTAGGAGAGTGACAAGTAAAATAAAATCAGTTGCCGGTAATGGAGGTTTCTGTACCCAGTTGACTCATCGTCGGGTGGAAAGGCAGTCGGTTTACTTTACTGACAGAGAAGATTGACCGCTGCCCGCGCGCAAAAAAAAGGAACTCGTCAATGATAATTGTAACGTGGTATGTATCGCGTAACAATCATGCAGTATTTAATCGTAATAATGATGGGCCTCGATTATCCCGTGTATGTATTACGCTTTCGCGCGTCAATCACACCATGTTGAGACCTACGGACACTATGGAAGATGGCGCGATAAACAGAGACTCGTTCGTTTTACAGCTAATTTACGGCACACGATTTTAATTACTCCGGCGCAATTAAACCATCAAAGTAATGGAAACCATCAGTCACCCCAGTGTATGTATACACGATCGTATCAGTGTCATCCTATCAATAGGCCAGACACCACGGTCCGATATTACATATCCGGTGATTACAGGGGTCGTTACCGATCATGGTAACGCTGGCAGGATTTTTTTTGTATCGCGATCAAAGGCGCCAGCTACGTGACGTGTACACGCCGGAGTAATTCAATCGGGGTGTATTTGCATAGCACGCAGAAGAAGGCCACCCAGACGAAGTAGGCGGCGGTTCAATTAACGATCAACCAGAGAGAACTATCAGTTTGATACCTTGAATGCAACCGAAGATGTGCGGAGTGTATTACGAAATCATGTTTGTTCCTCTTTCTTTCTCGCCACTTTACATCTAGCTGTATCCCGTGGGCCGACCTTCTGCAAGGTAGTTCGCGAGGCGGTAGGAATGCGTGACTCGACGATTTTATAACCCGCTTTCAATTACCATTCCTGGTGCTCTTGTTTTCCCCGGAGGTTAGCTTGCTGCTGGCTCTGCGAGAATAAGAAAACTCGAGGACGCGCGGAATGCACGCGCCCTCCCCGGTCTAAATGCCGCCCAGACTTTGTCCCCCGCCCCCCTCCCGCCGTTCTTTTGCACAGCCACGTATAGCGAATCCAAGTCTTTTTCTTCGTTTTTCGCTTTTGCTGCCACCGGGACCGTGATTTATTCGATGTCGTGGGCTACGGAGAATAGCCAGCCGCGTCGGTCGCGTCGCGACGTAGAGGTTCGATAGTCGGACCAAGACGAACAGAGATAGAAAACGAGTTATCCTTTAAGGACGTCCAGCCACAGCGCGATGAGCCCTAACAATTTGTTTTGGCTCGTTTGCAGGACGATACGCTCTCTCGCTGCTTGTCGAGAGGCGTGTATAATATTCTATCTCCATACTTGCTTAATGCCGCGACCATGGATACTTATCTGGTGGAGAATAGAAGAGCGACGACAGAGGCTTAATTAGAAAATAATGTCCTTTCGCGGAGATGATTATACATATATGTCGGTGTGAAATAGGGGATAGGACGAGATTGGCTGGACGCTACTAGGAAGGCCCGTGCTACGGATATTTCGCGATATCGTACCGATTAGTTCTGCTACCGACCAGGTAATAACTTAATCTGATTCCCTGGGCCATGGAAAAAAAGGGGTAACACGTCGTAAGTACTTGTGTATAAGCTGGCTTACGAGGAGTCTCCGACCACCAGTAATCGTTCACCAACCGTCGGCGTAATCCAACGATTCCAATGATTCGTACAACCTCCACCGATTAACTGTGGTCCGTTCGCGGTAAATTACGGGGTATGGCTCGAAGCACGCATCCCAAGCATATTTCATCCGATAAAAGGACGCGCGAGGCGTTTCTCAAATATACCCAGGGCCCCGGTTTTAATGGATGAACGCACACAGAACGATATCGTCGCGGCGAGGTGTGTCGGTTCAAGAATTTTCTGTCTGTTTTATTCAAGACGTAAGATTTTTTTATGCCTATTCTTTTTTGTTCATAGTCGCCATGAGGACGTCGCTGGTTCTACTGGTCTCGATCGTAGCGTTCGCGACCGCAGCACCTCTTCAAGGTGGCTTTAGCCTGAACGCCCGATTGTTCCCCCGGAGCAAGGACGAGACTTCAGTCTCCACGGAGACCGAGATTGTCACCGGCAACAAGGACGCGACCAATGAACCGGCAAAAAAGCAATCACAGAAGACCGACAGTGGAACGAAAGATTCGAGAACCTCGTTACCAGCCTCGATCCCCGGCAAGGATGATCGCGGGGAGAACAAGGAGGATGCAGCGCATCCGCAGATGCAGTCTAACGAGATCAAAGGCAGAACGGCGAAGAAAGGTCGGAAACACAAAGCGATCTTCGTCAACTATCCTGCCGTTTCTCATTTCGCAAATGTGCCTTACAACGTCGATTACACCGGTAATAGCTTCGACACGGAGGAAAGAGCAGTGGACGGGAACAGATACCAGGAGAGCAATATCTTTTACATTCGGCTACCACCAAGTCCGTACATGTTCGTTCCAGGTTTAGGCTATATCTCCCAGCCTCCGACTTATACAACATCTAACCTCCGACCTCAGATCCCATATGCTAAACCCTCAAGACCAAAACAACCTGTTAACCCATTCATCAAGCTTCCAATAGATTTCGTGAGCAACGGCAAACCAACGTCCGTCTACCAGTGGCAAAAGAAACCTACCAAGAAACCATCGGACAGTCCCATCACGAATTTGGACACTTTGTCAACGGATTTCGTCAGTAACGGGAAACCAACGTCGATCTATCAATGGCAGACCAATCTGAAGCCGATCAACCGACCCGACGACGTGGTCAACAACCTGGACAAGGGGCCCTACACTTTCAACGGCAAGCCCACCAGCTTCTTCCTGCTAAAGCCCGACGGTACCACCTCCGCCCGTCAGCCTATCCGGTATCCGGACTACCAACAGGATAATTCATACTATTGAGAGCACGAGCCTCGGCTCGTTGCTACCGAATCGTGGAACGGGTTCCACGTGATCCTGGAAATTGGTGGTCCGATTCAAAATCACGGGGCTGCGGTGCACGCGAAAGACTCGAGCAACCATAAGGAACGGTTGATATTGCCCTTGTGTGGAGTCTCCGGTCGAATCAATTGGACCAGTGGAATTAAGTGTTTGGGAACGTAGGGGAACCGTCGAAAGAAAGTCAAAAGGTACAATGGAAAATATCCATTAGAGTAATTAACGTCGATGGATATCTTTTGACTCTCCCTTATTAGCCCAGGCGATCCTGTTGCTCGTTGACGGAAAGAACAGCTCTGACAATTACGATGTTTTTTCAATTAGAAAAATATTTACGGCACCCGTTAGAAAGGGTTGGAATTCACGTTACCCGGGTGAGATTTATCGTTACCCCTGAAGTCAGCTACGCAATTTTCCCCTCGCAGACTTTTTTATGTATCGCTCGATAATTCACCCCGTGGTTGACATAGATTTACCGCGTTTAATTGGACCGTGTTATTAAGCCCTCGGTTCCTTCGAATTGAAACCGCGGGACCGGACGGACGTGTAATTATTATTCCGAATGTATAGCTCCTATTTAGTAAGTATCGATTATTTATATCGTCTACTATATACGTCAATTAATTTACGAGTTACGTATTTAATTACGTATTTCGTTACACACTATGGTCGAACCCAGAGAACGAGCACGTATCACGAACAATAAGAGTGATACGACGACTGTTTGCTCAAACTTTAACGTTACGTGTAATATGTAATTATTCAATTTATTATTATTTTTTTTTATAACAGCGGATGAACGTGATTCTAGTATTATCGTAATTGCCCCGTATTTAATGGTGTATTTATTTGCAGAACAAAGTCATATTTATGTTTCTCCTCTGTTAAGAATCCCGTCTTTTTTTTTTATAATACGTTGTACATATATATATGTGAGAAATAATATACGTGAAAGCTTTTGATCGTGAGGCTTACCTTCTTTCTCCAGACTGAAAGTATGAAATCTACGCTGGTTTTCTCGAATCCTCCGCGACGACGAGAAAACGTGTTTCATATGTTTCCTCCCCTTCTCGCGTAACACAAATATTGACTTGGGACGCGAGTCCGCCCCGGGATTATATCCTGTCTGGTTACGGGAATATGTGCTTCGCGATCGCACGCTACTTACTCAAAGGGATTGAAACCACCTCAACGATCACGATATAATGCCTTCCAGCGTCGTGGGGAAAATCGTCTCGGAAATAGAATCCCGTTGTGAATAAGAATTCGATCTCTCTGTAGACCGAATTAAACTTCAAGCGGGGGTAGGAACCGGCAAATAAATTTTCCATCCTTTAAAGCGAACGAAAAACTACTTAAAAATCTGTTACACTTGAACCTGTCTGTTCTGTTCTCTGATTTACAATCGAGCCAAGTTATGCAGAAACCTACAAACTCTCAAAATGATTTCAGATCATTGAGGGTTTATAGCTTCCTGCATAATTTGACCTAGTTGGATGCAAGCATTGATATTACAATATAAAGTATTTCATTGATTTTACGATAATTCATTTTTTAGGCACTTGAATTGACCCTATGTGTCAGTTATAAACAGTAAAATCATATTTAAAATACGAGTTTGAATACATTTTGTATCCACTGTACGTATTAGATACGATCATCCTTTCAACATAAGCTTGAAGTTTATTAATGAACAGAACAGCAGATTCTATCCCATAAAGAAAAGAAAAAACGATTACCTATCCGTTTCATCTAGCGATCTTTTTGCAGCTAACAGTAAAATGATTTCAGCTGGTGCTCCTCTGAAAATGATTAATCCACGTCAAGAGTGATAAATAAACGCGTCAAGGTAAAGTTCTAATCGAGACGCATACGACGGGCAAGGAAGGATTGTCTTACTTGTCATTCCCAAGTTACACACACGGTCCACTACCGAAAAATGTGGCCCTCGAGGCACAGGGCTCGTCTCTCGCTCTCGGCTGCTTGATATCATCGAAAAACCGTCGTAACGGGTTAACGAGTGGTTCTCATCCACCGCGACAGAAACCTCTTCCTTAAACTCTACGTACGATCCTCTTAGTGTAGGGTTATTTCCATAGTTTTCTATAACACTTACGTCCTAAAAGTTTAAAAAACAAACACACACGAAGTACCATTCTGCATTTTCACTGGGTCATTCTCACGCACAGCCATCACCGTACGTACGTATGCGTGAACAAAGTACTATAAATACTTTTATTCGCTACATTGAATGCCATGGTTTCGATACAATTGAGCTTCCTCCTATAACGTGTATATAGATATAATATATAATATAAGAATATAAAAAATGCTGCAGATTCGCCCGTGAACGATCGCTCACCGTTCGGAACCGTATTATGCATTCTAGTGGCCGTCACACCACGGAGCAATCGTTGGCGACGCGTGAAACGGCACATCAATACGATAGAAAAAGTATCCTGTGTAAACTTATAAAAATATATTGTACAAATCGAACGTAGCTGTGGGAAAACGATGGTCAATGCGTCGCCTAGTGAGATAAGTGGCACCGAAGATCGTTCCCTTACCGAACCTAACACCGAGTACAGTATTCCCTCGATACTAACGCGGCGCTGTCCCTTTTATCTTGAAGGAAACTCGACAGGAATCGGATTAGCGCAACGATTTTTTCTTGGATTAATACTGGTAATCGATATACTCTATTTTGATCTTATCAATCCCCCTTGTAGTGATCCTTCACACTTTCGATTTGCATTAGACTAATCTGACCTCCTCTATTCCACTCAAAGGGGCGTGACAGGTTACAGAATTCAAGAAGAGGATCGCGGTACATCCTCGTGCCATGGTCCTCGGTGGACCTGAACAGTATACAAGGTGTCCTATACGTTTCGGTGTAACAAGAGAATACTGTCGCACGAGAAATCAGGCTGGTACGATGCGTAGTTTCTTAAGCTTAACCCTAACTTTAAGGTTCCTCCTTTCAAACGAAAGGCTGCGACAACCTTAGACTAACCTCCTGAAAAAACACCTGCAACGGAACACGACTTGCAGGACACGCATGAATCTCGTGTAAGGACGATCAACCGAAAGATCCATATAGTCTCTTGTCTTTCTCTCTCCCTCCCCTCCCCGAATGGGTCTCCGATCGTCGTCATTACGAAGCAGTTCGGCCCTTGTTCTTGTCCTGGGCGGAGACGATACGCGCGCTACTTAGGCTAAACAAGTTCACGGGCCGTTAACACATAACATGATTACACACACACACACACACACACACACACACAGAAATGTGGTGGTGGACATGTGGTCGCTAGGATGGATTAAGGTAATAAAGGATGATAGTAGACGGGTTTGCGACTCTTCTCCATCACGTAGAACGCCTTCGGCTTCCCGTTTCCGGGGAAGTTCTTATGAATGCTGGTCGAGCCGGACTTGCCGGTGATTGGCGCATAGTACGACATGGCCGCCTTCTTCCGGTGTTTCTTCACCTTCGCCGTGTTTCGCGAGCCGTGAAGCTCGTTCGTCAGGTGAATCCTGTGCACGCCTGAATCGTTCAGTCTGTACGTTTTGTTGTTGTTAGTTTTCTTCAACGACGACGAATCCACCTTCGTATCCTCGTGTTCCGGATAACTGAGTCGCTTGTCGTTGTTCCTCACGTGTTTCGAGGTTCCTGCCTTCTGACGCGTGACGATTTTGTTGTTCTCTGAGCTATAGTATCTCTTGTTTTCTAGAACTTCGTGGCCAGTCTTCGAGATACCTTGACGAACCACTTCTTCAAAATTCTTCGAGGGGGAGCCTTGATGCTTCTTCGCGTCCTCGAGCTTCTTTTTGGTCTGATCGATCTTCAGCTGGGTCTGCAGCCTCTTCTTCTCGCTGATCCTCTTCATGACTGGCAGATTCCAGTGATAAATCTTCGCTGGTTTTCCATTTCCCTGAAAACCTACGGGGAAACTTGGCCCAGTGTTCGTTAGCTTCTCGTCCTTCGGTGACTTGTGCGGTTTCGTGATCGTGTAATAAGGCGGGCTAGCCGGAAGCTTGACTATGTAAACGTGACTGTCACGATGCCCGTGACGACGACTGTACGGCTGATGGATCCGTGTCTGGGTACCCAGTCCCGGCGGTTCAGGACCGGCTAAACGTTTCTTGTGGTGACCGTCGGGGATCTGAAGCGGTGCCAAACCGAGGCGATTCAGAATCGCCGCGTTGCTCGTGTGAACTGTTTCGTAATTCGAAGCGCCTTGCTCGCTTGCGATCGCCCCCATCAGGCTGGTGGTAAGTAGCAGCAACTTGTAGCTGAGTAATCTGAAAATCACAAACGATACAAGAGACATTAGAGAACAGGTGTAGTTTAAAAAGAACCTAACACGTGACGTTATGTAGTTTCAATATTTTTTCGTAGTTTTTTATGTAGTTTTAATATTTAAGTTTCAGCATCTTTCGCTAGATTGAATTTAGTAAATAAACTTCTTTTAATACAATAGTGCTATAGGTAGCTGAATTCGTCCTTCCGAAAGGAATAAGCTTGATTAGAAGCTCGAAATGCTTTAAATAATGAAAAAGGAAGAACAGTTGTAGAAAAACGGTTGAAAGAAAAATTTACAGGATAAGATCATTTCAGAGACTCCCGGGTACCGTCCGCGCGATAATCAGATCCTCGTAAGCATCGTCCTCGTGGAGCCTTGAACGGTAATTACACCTGACTGATTAAAAGTAGCTGGATGTACGACGATGGAAAACTGTCTTGCACGCGGACAGAATCTGTTTACACTCTGACCGCAGTGGAGAATCAGACGAAAGGATCGGAGGGAGCTTAAGAGACGATCCATCACCAGTGCCAAGTCGCTAGAGAGATCCAGAATAAAAAGAAACACAGCCATCCACCGACGACCTCGTCTACCAGGACCAGGCAGAGGCAACCCCTTCCGAGCGGATAGAAGAGAAGAGAGACTTTGAAGCCACCTGGCAGATCGTAAAGCAACGTGCACGGCGAAAGAGAGGAAGCAAAGAAAAGTATCATTGACCGTAAAACTGACGACTCTGCCAACGAGAGACGAGTGGAAATTTTACGAGCATCTGGGAAGACCTCTGAAGAACAGAAACAGAAGCGAGTCGCGTAAACTCCCGTGGATGTATCCGTGGTGTGTGTTCGAAACAGAACACTGTGTATAATATCGATCGTCCCGTCGAAATCCGTTCGCCAGGAGCCCAGGTTGTCGCCGTTAATGGCAAGAACGTACGATAAATCACCCTTCCCTCTTAATTACTCGATGCACACGCGGGCACCTAACCTTCGCTAATTATTCCCAGGTACGTTTTTTCCCTTTTTTCTTCTTCCACGGTGACGCTTCATGCATAATGCTCTGTGAAACGTGCGTTCCATTCCATTAACAGGGCTGGGTGCGCGCACGTTTCATCGGAACGGCCGTTAATTTTCAGTTCCGATGAAAAAGCACAGGGCAAAGACAACGCGATTTGCTGGACTATCATCGAAAGGTGTATGGAGAAAAACTGACGGAGAAGAATCTAGCTGGGACCGTTATGTCGTTACGCCATGATGAAACAGCGACACGGTATTTAACACTAAGTACATACACTTATAACTATTTGTTAGACACTTCTCGAATATGCAAATAAATATTATTCAAGAGGTTACGATAGACAACGTTCGGAGTCACGAGACGGAAGAAATTATTCCGTGAACCAGGAAAAAAAAACGAAACGAGAAACAGAATAATTAAATGTAGATACAGTTTTCGAGCGCGTTTGTATTTCGGAGAAATACGACGACGGGTTTTTGTCGATGACCAGCGTAAGCGGGTCCTGGGACGTCCGTCACGCGATGTGCATAAATTGATACGCCAGCCGGGCGCGGCGTCTCCCTCGTTGCAAAATTATTCCTACGTCCCATCTCCAGTCTCTCCGCATGGTCGTGCGGACAGTCGTGCGTGTTGGACGTGAAAGAGAGAAACGAGAAAAAAAGAAAGAAAAAAAAACAAAAAGGGAAATCACGAGGTCCGTTGAGACGGAGAATGAAACCGACTGGCAGGAGTAATAATATTCTCGGCGGGTATATTCGTCGTGCACATTTCGCGTGGTATTTAACACGAACCGGGGAAAGATGAACCGTTTCCGATGATTGAGACTAGACGTGCTTTTCTTCCAAGTTCCTTGAAACATTGGAAGTTGAACAAGGTGTACCTATACTGTTGGATGACCAATCTCGTGATTCACTGAAGGCCCTAACACTGACAAAAGTGATCAAGCTACATACTAGGTCCGAAAACAAATAAATTGGTAGGATGCGACATAAGGCAAATTTAGACTTTACATTGTAGATGTGCAAACGCGGATGAATCATCCACACAGAAAGGTGTAAAGATTATTTTCATTTGCACTGCACCCAAAGTGACCAGTGAACAAGATAGAGCCAGTACCTATACTTTTGATGAATTGAATGGATTGTAGGAAGTACAATACTTGTGTAAAAGTGAAAATTGGCCTTAAGGACTAAGGTCATCATCTCCCCCCATCAAATACGATGTACTTATAGTATATTTCCAGGAAATCTGCAAGAGCAGGAACAGTAGATACTCCAAATTGCTCTTCGGTATCACGTTCACCCCAGTTTACGAAACAGTCTTATATGTATACTCTTGTTGTACCCGTTTAGAAATACAGTTCTGTTATTGAAAATTTCAACTGTGTATTGATCTTTCGCGTATAGGTTTCCAACAGCGTATGTACCTATGTACGATCCAATCGTTCCCCACTAGCTACAATGGCTTGTTCACCGCGTCTTCTCTGGAATTTCGAGCCACTCACGCCACCATTAGTCGTATCTGCCCGTATCATCAACGCAATAAAAGTACGCGGACAGGATATACAGGGTAGCAAACTGGTATATCCTGAGTGAACACATTGTTCCACACAGACTCTGCTGGCAGACTTAACCCTTTAACGCCCAAACAGTACATGTACCTCATTTGTATTTTCACGGTGACTCTTCTAGAAATGTAATTTTCTAAATGTGACATATACGTCACACTGGGCGTTAAAAGGTTAAAAATCTCATCGAAATAAAAACGCGTATCTCCCATATGGTCTCTGTTTAAATGTCGAACCTACGACACTTACGGACTTACGCGTACACCGTAAATAGGAAGATGCCAGCGTCTTCCTATCGAGCAAGTAACTAACAGTAAGTGGGTATAAACGTCTAGACTACCGACACAACAGAGCCCATACTCTCGACGCGTAACCTCTCTCGCAAAAAGGCTTACCGATTACAATTCCGGTTGGCCGAACGGGGTAGAACACGATGTGCCCCATGTGTGTTGTTGCCGATCGGTAGTCCATTAACCGCTTGGACGTATTCGTCGAAAGTACACACATAAAAATACACACACACACACACACACACACACACACACACACACACGATTGGCAGGTTAGAAGAACGCGGAAGAAGAAGAAGAAGAAGAAGAAGAAGAAGAAGAAGAAGAAGGCTCGAGAACGCCGTGGGACGAGGTGGCTGCGCGACCCGAAGGGGCGAGGCGAGCCAAGATGATGAAAAAGAAAGAGACGGGAAAGAAGAAGACGAAGAGCCACCGCTGCAGCAGAATGAGGAGAAGGAAGAAAAGGTGGAGGTGGTGGAGGAGGTGGAAAGAGGGCCCCGGTGAGCACGTGCGTGTGCATACGAGTATGCGTGAGAAAAAGACTGACGGTTGAAGACGGCGTCGTCGGCAAACGTAGGATATATGTGTACCGAGAGAGAAAAAGACACAGGGCCAAACGTCGTCGTCGCGCCGATGGAATGAAAGATGAAAAGGAATACCAACGTGGTCTGGCATCTTGCGGTGAGCCGAGAGAGATTAATCTCTCATGATCATCGGGCCGGATCAACGTTTGCGGGTGCCTATAATCCCTCTTCTTCGGACCCTTGATTCAACCTGATCTAATGACTCCCGCTGTCGGACGGTTTAGCGCGATTTCTATACCCTCGTGCTACCCTCCTGTCTGTCCTAGGGACAGAGTAATTATCTTGATCTTGGCGTGAAAACGCTAGACAGCTAGAGATATTTCAATTTCTGAAGACAAGAGGTCTAACCCATAGAGACGTGTAATAGGGGAAGGTTTGCGAATTTAAACTATCGCCAAGATTGGACCACTACTATAAGTTGTCGCGTGTAATCAATTTTCCACCATATGGTATACAATATACCGGTGATTAAATCGCAAATTGTGCCCAATTTCCTAAAAAATATTCATACACAGCAGAATTCACGTGTTTCAGCCCGAGCCATAACGCGTCCGTCAAGCAAGATAAAGCACAGAGTCATTAGCCTGCAGTCAATCAGGTCCCGCTAACGTTCGGCTCGTTTCGGTGTACTTGTTATGTATGCACTACGGTAATTTACCCACGTGATTAACTAGGTCCATCGAGTTGTTTCGCGGTGTAAACGGCGCCGTTAAGTAGCCCGAGATTGAGGCCGTGTAACAAACTACACGCGCTAGTTTCCATCGAACTCGAATTCAATGAATCTTGCTAAGGGAGTAGGGATTGGAGGTGACGTCGATTGATTCAATAACGCGTCAGAGGCAAAGCTACATACTTCATAGGCCTGGGCGTCGCTTACTCGGAGCCACTTTTCATTACAAATTGGTTCTGATCACGTGAAAGCTTAAACGGGTGGATAACACGGCCATGTGCGCGCTCTCGGTGATTGTTCGTTTCACCGCGAGGCGAAATGCCTCGGTGGTGTAGAGGGTTTAACAGGGAGAACAGGTAGGTCTCGACGAGACGTCTGGTGGTGGTTGCCAGGAGGGAGTTGTAATAGCCCACCTAGCCTGTAATTTCTGTCCTGGTCGAGTTAATATTCGACTGAGAGAGAGAGAGAGAGAGAGAGAGAGAGAGAGAGAGAGAAAGAGAAACCAACTACTCGCCACCCAGGGCCTAGAAGGTATACATTCACATATGTATAAGACTCTCTCTCTCTCTCTCTCAGAGTCAGCGTGACTCATTCGTGGTGATTTAACAGGTTGACGCCGATTCAGTCCCTGACCTCACTGACAGCGTTAGGGACATTATTGACTACAATGCGTCAGCGGATCCGGCTAATTGGAACGCAAATATGCAGAGCGTCCTCCCTCATCAATTCTGTGTTTTGCCTAATTGCGCTCGCTAACGAGCATCCTTTGGCTAACTAAAAAGCGGTTGTTGCTTTATCGAGAGCACCGACCGACATCCTATGTTTTCTATATCTAACGGTGATCAGGTGATTTCCGTTTGATCGGGGGAATAA